TTTGCCGAACATGTAACGTGTTATCAATATTCTTGAAATCGAAAATATTCAATATTATGGGAAATATAATTTCTAATCCCCTACATACATAAAAATAATTTTACTTTAATTTAATTTTTTTTATTGGGCAATATTATTATTCTTATTATTACTCTCTCGTCAGCTGATTAACAGGTGATTCTGAAAGTCATTGTTTAAAGATATTCGGGATGATCGGGATAAATAGTTAGAATATTAATAAATGAGAAAAAAAATAAAAAAGCAAAACGTCCAGAACTAAAAAGAAAAAGAAAGAGAGAGGAAGAGAGAAAGAATGAAGAAGAGCAAACGAGGCCGCGTGTTATCTCATCACCTTAGCGATAATCTCCTTGTGCTGTCTTTAAAGTTCACGGTTGTGTATAAATTGGAGAGAAGAGTTTGAAGTACTAAAATGATTCTGCACAAGACATTTTTCTTTCTTCTCTTCTTTTTAACACGACTCTCACTTTCGTTCTCTCTTTCTCTCATCAAAATGCTTCGCAAATTTATCGAATTATTCGACTTGTTTTTTTCCTGCTAAAATCTTAATCTCTCGCATGTCAATGTTTATACTGAGGACAGTGTACTTTCTCTGCGTATTAGCATCCAAATTCTCTCATATCGAATGACGTATTTATTAACTAACGTATAATTTTAAACGCCAACGACATGTTGTTGTCTCCGGTTCATCAAACCCTGTTTAAAGGTCGATGATCCGCAGCGTATTTCAAAAACAAATGAGATCACACACAAGTATATCCTTCATATAACAATCACCAGTAGTTGAATTAAGCCGGAATCCTCTTTCTCTTGTTATTATCTACGATAATAACATATTCGAACAATAAACATATACATGTATTTATTTGTTTCTTGTAGAAAAACATTGTTAATAGTAAATGTTTCTCTCTTGTTTGATTTTCAGAGTTACATCAAATCATTCTGACCACCATTTAGAGGATCAATCACATTCTTATTCGACGTCGACAGATCGGCAATCGAAGCTGAGTCCACGTGCGGAAACGGAAAGCGGTGACAGCGCTGATGTCAACGTAAAATGTAAGAATATGAAAAGGGAACGCAATAGTGTCTGCAAGGGGAAGAATAACGGGAAAAAGCGTCACCACCGCGGCAGGCACTGGAGATGCCGGCGTCGGTGTCTGAAGTGTCGCCAAGCTGGCAAGGTGTTTTTACACTTCTGCTCATTTTCTATTAACAGTTTTATAATAATTTTTAATTAACGCTTCTCTCCCGCATACGTTTAAACTCTAACGTTAAACAATGCATGCAATATATATTTTATTTAACAGATTTTTTTTCTAAACATTTTTTCAAGTAAACATTTATTTTTGCGTACAAGCTTATGAAATTCGGGTATAATCTCGACTTCTCGCTTAAGTACAGAATTTTTATTTACGGATTTAATGAAATACATCTGAATTGCATACTCATATACGCATCCAACTGCGTTCTTGTTTATAACATTGCTTTCTGCTGCCGTATGCTTCGTGATACTTTAATCTCAAAAATAACTTACGCTACTATGTAGACGCTTAGCATCTAAAAATAATTACAGATATGTGTTATCGCGCTTGTATTTTTTTTCTCATTTGTTTAAATAATTTTCAATGACGTCAGCTACTTTTTTTATCGGAAAACGACTATTGCTTCGCATGTTTCTTTGGCGATCGATTAAATAATTCCAAACATCAGCAAATTACAACAAAGCGACGTATATATTTCTCTTATTGCAGATTAATGAATCTTAATAACGGAGACGACCAATGTTCACCTAAATTCGTGACGTCGAAGTTTAGCAGACAAATATCCACACGTGTATCTCACCTGTAATCGTAATGCAACGGTTGCCGATCAACGCGCGAGAGAACGAGAGAATTTTGAAATAAATTTTCGGGCATTTTCCCATTCTCTCTCGCCTATGCCAATTTCGTCTCTCTGTCGCATCGTTTCGAAGTAATTAACGAAGTTTGCATGAAGAGAAAGAAGAATACTCAGATATCACAAGATGATGTATGTACTAACCGATAAGTGTGTTACTCTTCTTTAACGCGATCGAGAGAACGGTTCAATCCATTTTGAGCAAAATATCGACGAAAACGTGTATAAGATGTGATTTTTCCAATGACTCTTTGTTTCAATGTTAAAAAAAAAACTTTTTTTTTGTTTTTTAAAAAGAGACATTCAATGGTGGTTGGCGAATGGTGGTTATCGAATAATATTATAATGAACTTAAGCTAGAAAAACACATTAATCAGAGTTCCGTGTTTTTTTTTATAAAAGAAAGAGACTTTAAGTCAAGCTTAGGGTTTTAATGTATACCTTTATTAGAAGTTATTATTTTATTAGGGACAAAAAAGCTCGATTTCGAATAAGTTTTAATAACCGATGTGTAGTTTTACTAACAACCGATGATCTCATTAGTATTAAAAGTTTTGCTGTAAAAAACACAAGATTTTAAGTTAAGAAACTGAAGTTCACCTTGAATATCATCTCACACACACAACGACAAACGTGCAGTTCGCTAGTTCGCAGTGAAAAAAGAAAAGTAGACGGGAGAGATTTTTGTAATTTTAATTGTCGTCGTCGTTTTAATAAGCAAATAGTTTTATAGATAGAAGTTTAATCATACATGAACGTATTTCGAAACGCACATTATAAAACTATTTGACTGAATCATTTTCTCGTTTTTCTTTTTGAAAGTAAAAGAAAATAACAAGAAAAAAGTCTTTGCTACAAATTCGATATTTGATTCAATATTTCAAACTGCACAATAAAACATAATATTAACATAAGTAAGCATTTATACGAATGTATTATTTACTTTGTAGAAATGCCTGATTTCGTACAAATACATAAGACATTCACTTTGTAACTCATAAATAAAACAATATGTCACTCAACTTGTGTTTCTTTATTTATATACGATTACTTTTTTAAAAAGTTTCTTCACAAACTTCAGAAACTTTTCAAAGTTTCTTCACAAACTGATACGTCTATCTTTAATTTTAAGAAGCTCTCCCTCTTAACCTGTCAGGCAAGGAGTACGTGTATCTTTTCCCTCAGACACTTTTCGACATTCTTACAGCACTTCGATGCCGTTTCTAAGAAAACCTTCCAAGCTTCGTCTTTCGAAGCTCTCGGTTGTCTTTCATCGATCTTATCGTGCAGTTCGTCCAATTCTTTCTCACTCAAATCGATATCGAAATTCTCATTAAAAGTTTGATAAAAATATTGCGCCAATTTGATTTCTCATCGCTTCCTATTTTGCTGTTAGTCACGTGCGCAATTTACCTCGTGACTTTCTTCAAAATTTAATTTATTACTTACTGACACACACACACAAGTACGTATTAAATAATTGTTGAAGCATATATTGTTGCACGTGTTAACGTAAAATAAATTTGCGATAGGATAGGTTGTACATGGATATGTTAATTACACAAGAAGAAAACATGATGGTAGATTAGAACATTTTTATTGTGTGATTATTAATTCGTTTTATTGCTCTCTCTGCTCTTTGTTATATCTTTACAAAAAAAAAAAGAATATAATTAGCTCACGGCAGAGCTAATTTTTTACACATGAAAAATTGTACAGGTTTAATAATATCCGTAACGCGAATATGGGTTAACTCTTCCATATAAAAGAGAATCCAGAGACGAGTAGCTTACCAGAGGATTGTAAGCTCGCGGACCAAATCTTCTGTAACGATGTCTAAACGGATATCCGTACCCGTACTGCGATCCGTATCCGTATTGCGATCCGTACGGGTATCCGTTCCCGTACGAGTATCCGTTCCCGTACGGATATCCGTTCCCGTATCCGTACTGATACAAATATGGATTGTAGTATCTTGATCTGAACAGATGTCTCTTTTGCGGCTGACCGTGAGACTCTGAATCCGTCATTGTCGACGAATCAATGCTGGTCGTGTCCATCATCGTCGGATCTATCAAGAAGTCAAATGCAAGAAAACAAATTGCAAATTGTCTTGGTCAAACGCTCGCAATGAGAAGCGACCAACGCACGTGCAAAATCTATCTCACAAAATTTTAAATTTCAAACAACGGACGAATTAAAACGTGAGATACATTAACTCTTTAATAATCTAATCTAATTACGAATTTTTTAGATGCAACTTCTTGCTCTTGTCAAATCAACTTCTGTCTGTAACTTTATGATTTGAATATAATAAGAACTGTCGTTCGTTTATGATTACTCTGATATAAAGATATATCTTATAATCGTAGCGGTAATTCGAATTCTATTGAAAATAAATAAATTGCATTTTTTTTTATCTTTACCGATTACATTGTCCCTCTTCGTTATCTGCTTTGTTTCTTCGTCGAGCGTCTGGATATCCACGTTTTCTGAGTTTCTCTTGGCTCTATTGCAGTTCTTCATATGAATATCCATCACGGCCGTATTATATTGCATGTCGGCCCATGACACTTCGCACGTGATCGCCGCTATCACTAAAATCAATGCGACTCGATGGAGATGCATCTTGCAGCAGCAGTTTACGATCCGTTTTTTTTCGTCGTCGTTTAATTAATTCAGTGCCTTTTGCACTATACTGAATTTGAAATTCATACCCGCTCTTTTATTACCGCTCTTATCCAATTGTACGTGCCGGAGACAACGGTGAGAATAATATAGATGCACGTTCATTTATCAATTGCACGTGTATTCACGCTCTAATTATTATCAAATTCGGTTGGCCAAAATCTCATTTTCGTGAGGTATTTACAATCAAAGATACAAGATTGAAAAGTGTAAGTAGATAGACACGAAGAGATAAAATTGCCAAAATATTTGTGATAGATCGCCACGAATAAAATATTTAAAAATACATGTATATATTTTCGACAGCGTTTTCAACACTCAAAATATTTCGGCCGCGACATTAGCGATAAATTACTATAAAAGAGATTTCTGGAAAGGTGCACAGCGGATTATTTGTTAATTGCGGCGCACTTAACGTGCCTTTCTGTCGTTAATACATCATCATGCGAGTAATCTCGTGCGAGTAATAAACGGCGTTATACTTCATTGTTGCGTGGGCCGTAAATTGATACGTGGATAAAATGCTTTGCACGGCGCTGAAATTGCATATCTTTGCTAGTTACGAAAAATTATGTGAGAGGCTTGCTCGATAGCACGTGCATATGAAGGAGTACGCAATTATGCTTTTAGATATTCTGAATACTCGGCGATGAAATGGAGCGATGGAATGTTCTTATCGTATAACGTACGTTTTGCGTTAGTTTTTAAATAAATTTTTGAAAATAAAGAATTCTAACGCAGTGTATTTTATAAATAAACAATCCTTATCAATCTGATATTTGATGCTTTCGCGGTGTGTTGTATTAACACTCGAAGAATTGAAACCCTGATGAAGTGAGCTGAAATGTTCACAAAACGTCGGTATAAAAATAACACTAACGCTGTTTCAAACATCTTCGAATCTTTATCAATACTTACGGTAACAGATAAGAGAGATGAAATAGAAATTAATGTTAATAATATTATACAGTTATATGATATGACGCGCGCTTTTTATCGAGATTACAAGTTCTATAATATAATATTTTCATACGCAAGAAAGATAAATTACACCTGCGCAAGTAGAAACTATTACTACAATGGTACGATAATAAAGCGTTATTGTAATAACGATAATTTTTATCATTAGATTTTTACTTGATTTTGGATACGTATCTTATATATGTATGTACTTTATATACATAGTTATATACATATATGTATGTGTATATATTTGTACAACAAATTTGAGCGTTTAATTATTCTACAGAAAAAAGATATTATTTAAATATAAAATATATAAATATCTCTATTTTATATAAAATAAAATACAATATTTAAGTATCTTTATTTTATATAAAAAATACTAAAAAAAAACAGTTTATAATTATAATAAAAATTAAATAACATGAACGATGACACGTCGCAAATTACTTAAATGCCGCAAGTATCTGGAAATAATTACATTTGAAACACATATGTTTCACGTACATACATCTGTACGATATATTCGCATCGTAAATAACGTTATCGCACATTCCTCGAACGTCAGCGAATCGAAACAATGGTTGCGTTAAGCAGAACAAGCTATTTTGTACCAATTAAACGTGATTTTTGAAACCTTAATTTAAATAGACTGTGTCTTGCATACGAAATAACCTTTATGCCCTTTAAATCATTATTTCGCACGACAAAGATTTGATTGGCTGCAGGATAGAGTTATCTAGAGTTTTCTATTCAACAGCCAATCAAGTTTTTGTTGTGAAAAACGCATCAAATTTTATTGTGTACGAACCTTTACTATGTCCATGTATAAAGGTGCAAGCACGTCAAAGTCGCTTTAAGGTTCGAAACCACTTTTGAAAATATTTATATTTTAAACTGCCGCACAGGAGTATAGAATATTTTATATTACTTGTGGTAAATATGAGAAAATATATAGATTTTCTCTCACAAGATTCGACGTTTTATATCACGTTAATTACACTTATTTTTTTTTAGATTCCTACATAGCTGACTTCATAATTTGACCAAGAGTTGCAACAAAACTAACCTCGAAACATGGCGTTGCGTACCTACGGAGACAAGCCGATAAGTTTTCAAGTCGAAGAGAATGGAGAATATTATTGCATCGGATCGGAAGTCGGCAATTACCTGCGTCTATTTCGCGGGTCATTGTATAAGAGATATCCTGGCATGTTTAGAAGATCTATAACCAATGACGAACGTAAAAAGTTAGTGGAACTAGGATTGAGTCAGCATGTTCTTGCGTCCAGTGTATCACTTTTACGAGCAAGCGAGGTAGAGGATATCATCGAGGGCAATGATGACAAATACAAAGCGGTATCTGTGCATTCAACTGAACCACCTGCGCCAAGAGAAGGTAAAACCAAAAAGTCGATGGCGTGGGTACCCAGTCTACCAAACAGTTCACACCTCGATGCAGTTCCTCAAGCCACTCCAATAAATCGCAACAGAGTACACAATAAAAAAGTTAGAACGTTTCCTTTATGGTAAGAGTAAACTATTTATTGTTGAATATTTTGTATATAGTGTCATAATACCCCATTATTAACTTCATAATGATACAATTTCTATATTTCTCTTATATAGTTTTGATGATACCGATCCGTCAGCAAATTTAGAAAATGCTGCGCAACAAGAAATGTTAGTTCCAATTCGTTTAGATATGGAAATTGAGGGCCAAAAATTGAGGGATACTTTCACGTGGAATAAAAATGGTACATTGTTGTAGTTTTTTTTTTTTTTACCAACAGAACTTTTTCAGTATGATTTTTAGAATGCCTTTTTGTTCTGCAGAAAGTCTTATAACACCGGAGCAGTTTGCGGAAGTATTGTGCGACGATTTAGATTTAAATCCATTAACATTTGTTCCGGCGATCGCGCAAGCGATAAGACAGCAAATAGAAGCGTTTCCTCAAGAAACAATTTTGGAAGATCAATGCGATCAACGAGTGATAATTAAATTAAACATACACGTAGGGAATACATCTTTAGTAGATCAAGTAGAGTGGGATATGTCGGAAAAAGAGAACAATCCTGAGAAGTTTGCAATGAAACTTTGTGCCGAGCTTGGCCTTGGTGGTGAATTTGTCACCGCTATCGCTTACAGGTAAAACAACAGATCTTTTTAATTTGATATTTACAGAGAATCGTTCTGTATTTTAAATTTATATGAAAGAGACAATACTTATATAACTCAAAATTTAAAGACTATTTCGAGTATTTTTTTTTTAATTGATGGTTTATTATCGCAGTGTACGCGGACAATTGTCGTGGCATCAGAGAACGTATGCGTTTTCCGAAGCGCCTTTACCGACAGTAGAAGTTCCTTTCCGACCTCCATCGGAGGCCGATCAGTGGGCGCCATTTTTAGAAACTTTAACGGATGCAGAAATGGAAAAGAAGATACGCGATCAAGATCGAAATACTCGGTAATTTTATTGAATATTATATATATTGCAGTTTGCGAATCTTGTAGTTTATATTATTTATGCAAGAGTATTCAATTTTGTTTTTCTTTTACAGACGTATGCGACGGTTAGCGAACACGACGCCTGGGTGGTAAAGATATCTAGAGAAAAAAAATCATATATAAATATATACACAATTTACAGTTTTTTATGAATACCGTTTTACGTTTTAATGATATTTATGTGAGATTTATAAATGAGGATATAATTTTTTTCGATTATTTTCCAATAATAGAATATATGTCCCTAATTATTTGTAAAAATGACAGAAAAATGATTATATTTAAGAAAACCACCCATTTATATTCAGATCGATATTGCGTCTTTCCTTTGTGCAAAATTTCCTAAAGTCAGCTATTTGTTCGTCCAAAAACCCAATTCAGATATATTTAACGCGTTATATATTTATTAATTATAATAACAGATTTATATTTGAGTTTACATTATTTAAATAAATAATTTTGTCTTTTCTATAAAGTATATTGTGTTACATAACACTAAATCAATATATTCGCGATAACTATGAAAATATAGTAATGTGATTTCCTTTGTTATTTCATAAGTAAAGTTGATTTCTTCTGTAGAATTGTATGATTTAGAAATATATAAAGAGAGAGAGAGAGAGATTTTTTTTATAATACTTATATAACAGACACGTATTACTTCATGTGTACGCATATGGTATCACATGTATGTACTATGTTGTGCATTTTTCAGCCAGTCCCTATCGTACGATAAGATAATATCACGTGATTGCATTTCATTTACGATCGTCTCGAAGCACGTGTCAATGATTACCTAACACTTCGACATTCTCGTTAGTTATGCAAATCAGCGTTTCATTTCGTGACAAGAATCAAATATCTGCGTGTGATAAAAACGTGAATTCAAAACTTTTTTTTCAACTTGTAATTTCTTTCGTGTAATTGTTCGTAAATATCAAGTGTATTATTTAAAAAAATCGATCAAGAAATGAAATTCGTGCGTACATTTTTTTATTTTTTTTTATTAAAAAAAAATATATAGTTTATATATTTTTAAAGGTTTGTTTAGATAAAATATCTTCTAAAAAAAATAATATCTCTTCATTTTACGAACCCACCATATTTTAGAGACACTTGTTCTGTAAACTGCATTTAAAATACTTTGAAATATTTTGAATACTTTAAACATTTTTAAATACCTTTAAATATTTAAAAAAATACCAAAATGGTCAAGTATCTAATCTGAATCTTGTTTGTTATGTTGCACATTTGTTACATTTTGGTTACACTTCTGTTTTTTTTTACCAAAAAACAGAAGTGCATATACATATATGTATATATAATGTACTCATTTCAAGTACGAGGAAAGTGTAAGCAAGCGCAGTTAATTTTATCGTATTCCTCTACGGTGGTCGGTGTTTCCTGTTTCGCGCGCTTGTTGTAACGGAACATTAGAGAAGGCGAAGTAAGGCGACGTAAGAGACAAAATGAAGCGTAGCAGCGCGAAACGAAACAACATTCGCAAGAAACACGCGGAAGGGGGAAAATATGGGGGAAACCGATGTGTTAGGTGCTAGTCGGGACGCACACATGAGTGTCAATCGGCGTACGCGTATCGGTTCAGTCTTCAGTCCAGTCTGCGGTGTCCAGTAGCGTGGGTGGACGAGTAGCGACAACGTCACGGATACGACTGATAACGTCTGAAATTTGTAACCCCAACAACGAGCATGGACGCGACGAAACAACAGCAACCTCGGTCGCTAGCGTTAACATGCACCGGCCTGTCTCCGTTCCCACGCAGACCGTGGATGAACGAAACCGGACTCGCCGCGGCTGTTGGCGCCGGTAACTTAGGCCTCAAGGGAATCATAGCCGGTACGTTGTACATATATATACATACTCTTTCTCTCGTTCGCTTGACCGCTTGACCCGCGCCGACCTTTGACACCTGTCAGGATACCACTGCATCACGCGGTTCATTCGGCCAACTGCGATCGCGGAAATTATGCACTCATGGACTCTTTCGGCATCAGCGCACCCCGGCTAATCGTGAGATCGTGCGATCTCATGAAATTTATTTATATGTTAATACTGATTGTACACGTGTTTATGTATACGTGTGTAAATCACGTATTCATATATCTATGCATCATGTATGATTTTTACAAGGTCATCGTACTCTTTTCAGGCCTCGATGCGAAAACGTTGTTTGCAAAATGTATTCGCTCATTTCTACAATGACAATTCTCTTTCATAATTTTTTCTCTGCATAAATAATTTATAAGACGTTCCGAGATTTGCGTTTATAATAAAATTTACACACTTATACACATAAGTATGTGTGTGTGCATAATTTTACAATTGTAAAAAATTTTTTGTATACTGTTTTTTTTTTTTTTAAGAAAACCCTTTTTCCGCAATCTCTCTTATAAGCAACAAACCTGTTTTAATAATTATTTAAAAACACTTTTGCGCTCACACAATTTGTTTATTCCGAAACAAACACTTGAAGAATATACAATTGGTTTTTAGGTGGAATTACTGGAGGCATAGAAATTTGCATTACTTATCCGACGGAATTCGTAAAGACGCAGTTGCAATTGGATGAAAAGTCTGGTGCAGCCAAACAGTACAAAGGAATAGTCGATTGTGTGACCAAGACTGTTAAATCTCGTGGATTTTTTGGTCTATACAGAGGTTTATCCGTTTTAGTCTATGGTTCTATACCGAAATCGGCAGTGCGATTTGGTGCTTTTGAATCTGCAAAAACGCGACTGGTAGATACCGAAGGAAAACTCAATCCGCAAAGAAAACTCCTGGCTGGTCTTTGCGCTGGAGTGTGTGAGGCTATTTTTGCGGTCACGCCTATGGAAACGATTAAAGTGAAATTTATCAACGATCAACGTTCGCCTAATCCAAGATTTAGAGGATTTTTTCACGGAGTTGGTTTGATTATAAAGGAACACGGTACGAGCACTAGCTATTTTGAACATTTAAACATAATGATTACTTTATTGCAATTTTTTTAAAGATAATATTGCTTTTTAATGACTCGTATTGTTTTTATACTGTGTCTTATGACTTGTGTTATTTTTATATTGGATAGATATATTTTAATTATCTTGAATTTTTACATTAAAAATGAGATAAAAGTTATATAATTGAAGTAACAGAGAAAATACAACGCGTATGATTTTGTCCTTGAAGTACGATTATGAATCGCATTAGTTAGACCCTTAATTGGATCAAATTGCTACATATATAGTCGATTTGTCGCAGTGTCTTGCAAAGACTTTGTTTTACATAAAATAATAAGTACACGTAAAAGCTATTGTTATTGTTGTGCTACCTATTATATAACACTGAAGTTTTTCAAATGTATTATATGTAAACAATGTTAATAACTATTACAAAACCTTATGTAATCTTTCGATAACAATATCTATAAACCATCATTTTCATATGTATGTATAGGTTTTAAAGGAGTATATCAAGGACTAGTGCCCACGATCTTAAAGCAAGGCTCTAATCAAGCTATCCGATTTTTTGTGATGGAAACGTCAAAAGACTGGTACAAAGGAGGAGACCCTAATAAGAATGTTCCTAAAATACTCGTCGGTGCATTCGGCGCAATCGCTGGAGCAGCATCCGTTTTCGGCAACACACCGATTGATGTTGTAAAAACCAGAATGCAGGTATGTACAATGTGTATATAATAATAACTGTGTGTGTATGTGTGTATGTATGTAAAAATTTATTAATTTTATGAATAGGCTGTTACGACATCAAGCATCTATCAAATTTGCGATGTATTTTATCTTGTTTCAGGGTCTGGAAGCTTCGAAATATAAAAATACTCTAGACTGTATAACAAAGGTGTGGAAACACGAGGGTCCAATGGCGTTTTACAAGGGAACCGTTCCGAGATTAGGCCGAGTATGTTTAGATGTCGCTATAACGTTCATGATATACGATTCCTTCATGGAATTCTTTAACAAAGTATGGCCTTAGGTCTGCTACATTTTTGTACATACACACATTTATACATTCTATCAAATTTTCTAGACGTTATTTCACGTTAATCGTTAAATTTTTTTTTTTTTTTTTTTGTAAACGTTTTGCCATATTTTTTTGTTTATTTATATTTACGTATTTATATATCATACATAAAAAAGATCTATTTATATATACATAATAGCCAATGTTTATACAACATGTGTCAAAGATGGGGAAACCTATGAGACGAATACATTCCATTTGATTGACAAACTAACTGTATGACAAAAAAGAGATAGTATTATTCTGCACAAACATATTGTACCTACCTCCGGTTCTACTTGCGCATTTATTTAATTAATGTTTTTAATGCACGAGAGAATTTAATTGCAAAAATTGTGTTTTTTTTTTGCAAATTGTTTCAATGAAAAGTGATAAGTGCATTTTGCAACGACGTACATTCCTTCAGTGACACTCGCGTTCCGAATTACAATAAGGATACTGATTGTTATTTAGACAAACATCTAAAGAATAAGGAAAATAGTTTGTGTATAATAGCTAATAAGTCATGTATGCCAACACATAGATGAATTTGTATACATATATATATATGTCGTTAATATACACAGAATATATCTATATATATATATATTTATGTATAGTTTTTGTACAGAGAAAAAATAGCGCTTAATGATCAAGCAGGGAAACGATTCAACGATTTCAGTTTTACATAAATTTTTGCGCGTCCATGAAACACACGAATTGTTGCAGAAACACGAGAGAATTTATAAGAGAATGTATATTAATAAAAAAAACTTTCAACCGATTCGTATGTATAATTATTTCTTTTTCTCTCACATTTTGATGTAAATGAAACGTGAGACTAAAATATTCTGATACCCTAGTTCGCTTTACGTAAAAGGATACGTTAAAATCGATATAAGTTTCAAATTTCAGAGATATTTCTGTTCACGTTATATATCGCTCGGTCGCCGTTTTCGATCGTTTTGATTCCATCTATTTTTATTCCTCAATAACATTGGTTTTTTTTTTTAATACAAGCTGGCGAAATACCAGAACTGCAAAGATAATTTTATCTGATATCTTCGTGCCGGGTGTTTTTCATCTGTAGATGAAGATATATGTGTATATACACACTCATATACTGTATTATTAAAGTAGTGTTTGATGATGATACCACATACACATAGAGCGAGCGGCCGATGTAGTTGCGGTGAGGACCTATCGGGGCCCGACCGACGAAGAGAGAAAGCATAGAAGAAGCAAACAACACCGTGCCAGCAGTGCCGGCCCCGCTCTGGGCCCAACGAGGGGACCTGAGGTCACATTCCAAGATGGCTGTGCCTGAGGAATGCAGTGGGTGCCCCCCTAAGACGCCTGTCTCCCTTCTTTTTTATTAATCGGCCCCATTTGCCCGTTCTAGCGAAAAGAAACCCTTATTACCGTTTGCGAATGGTGAAACAATGTAACGCGTGTAGACGCCGAGTGCTATCGAGAGTTGAAGAACAACCCGAGACGAAAGGCGCCAAGACACAAGGCCTATCGAGAAAGACAAGCAGCGAAAAAGAGAGAGAAAGAAAGAGAAGTCTCGCGCACGTTCAAAATTCGGGGCCTGATTTTCACATAAGTTCGACACTCTGCAGATGATGCCCATGCCAGAGGATGCTACTAGATCGTCTTAAGCAATGTCTCATAGGGATATCTCTGAGGTAATAATTCGTATTGCGCGTGTTCTTCCGGATTTTTGGTCTGATTTTCGACTACAGTATTTTGTTACGTCTCTTAATATTTGTTTTGATCAGTTTTATGTTAAATAATTAAATACATATTTATTGTTTTATTTAGATATTTTTAAAATAAAGTTTTATAATATTTTTTAAATTAACTTTTATATATTTTTTGTAGTTAATTTTTTAATATTAACTTTAGTTTTTGCTTATATACATATACATTTAGATTATATAAATATACATCGTTTTTTTTTTAATTTTACATGTATATAAATTTTATAGATATATATATATATATACCATATACTATAGATATATACTATATACTATAGATATATACTATAGATATAATTTTATAGATATATAATTTTTTTATCACTTGATAATTGATAATAAAGAGTAACTTTTTATATTTTGTTAATTTTATTTTAATCCATTGAAGAGAGGGAATGTAAATATGTATAAATTTTTGGATGTTATCGTTAAATCAATCGCTATATCAATTTTACAATACAATAGGTGGAGCCCGAAGGTACGTCGGCCTTGGCTGCTGGATCTAGGACATTATTCCTAGAAACAGTACGCAGAAGCAATGCGGCGTGCCAGAATGGGGATTACGCGCTCGCCGCTACATTGTACACGGAAGCCCTAGTATTGGATCCTCTCAGTCATGTATTATATTCAAACAGATCAGCTGCTAGGCTTAAAATGGGATTATTCGCGCTCGCACTGCAAGATGCTGTCAGAGCTACCGAGTTAAGTCCACAGTGGCCGAAGGTATAATGTTCTTTTTGTTCTGCATCGCATTAGTTTTTTCTCAAAACTCATTGCGATTGTATGTTTTAATTAGGCGTACTATCGGCAAGGAGTAGCGCTTCAATGCTTAGGACGTTACGGAGAAGCTCTCGTTGCATTCAGCACGGGATTAGCTCACGATGCGTCGAATCATCAGTTGCTATCCGGTTTAGTGGAAGCATCTCTGAAGTCACCGCTGCGTCCTACTTTGGAACCAACGTTCCAACAGTTGCGCGCGATGAAGCTCGACGAATCGCCGTTCGTTGTTATATCTGTGGTCGGTCAGGAGTTACTCGGCGCCGGACAATACAGAGCGGCTGCTGGTGTACTGGAAGCCGCGCTCACTATCGGTTCGTGTAGCTTGAAATTGAGAGGATCCGTGTTCTCCGCTCTGTCCAGCGCGTACTGGGCGCTGAATTCTTTGGACAAGGCAATAAACTACATGCAGCAAGATCTCGGTAGGCGCAAGTAATAAAATTCGCACAAAAAAAAGGAAATTCATAAATAAACTCGCAAGTTTTTGTCAAAACATATTGGAATTTTTTTCAGGAGTAGCACGTTCTTTAGGAGACACGCAGGGCGAGTGTAGAGCCCACGGAAATCTGGGCTCCGCGTACTTCAGCAAGGGCAGCTTCAAAGAAGCTCTGACAGCTCACAGATATCAACTTGTTCTGGCTATGAAGTGTAAGGATACGCAAGCGGCCGCGTCGGCCTTGACCAGTTTGGGACACGTTTACACGGCGATCGGCGATTTACCAAACGCCCTGGCTTCTCATAAACAGTGTGTGCAATTGGTCAAACAAATGGGGGATCGGCTGCAAGAGGCTCGCGAGATCGGCAACGTCGGAGCGGTCTATTTGGCAATGGGAGAATTCGAAAGTGCCGTTGACTGCCACACGCAGCATCTGAGGATAGCCAGACGATTGGGTGATCGCGTGGAAGAAGCGAGGGCTTTCAGCAACTTGGGCTCATCTCATCATTATCGTAGAAATTTCGGACAAGCAATGGCTTATCACGAAAATGTTCTGAGAATAGCGCAGGAACTCGGAGACAGAGCTATAGAAACCAGAGCGTATGCGGGATTAGGTCACGCCGCCAGATGTGCAGGTGACAATAAATAATCATAATGTGATTTGTTTATACATTTAGAAAAAACATAACTTCTTTGATATCTGCATAGGCGATCTGGCGCAAGCTAAACTTTGGCATCAGAGACAGCTCGATGTCGCATTGGCCACGAAAGACAAGGTGGCCGAGGGACGAGCTTGCAGCAATCTGGGTATAGTATATCAATTACTCGGCGAGCATGACGCCGCTTTGAAATTGCACCAGGCTCACTTGGGAATCGCAAGATCTTTAGGAGACAAAGCCGGAATGGGTAGAGCATACGGTAACATCGGCAACGCTTACAACGCTTTGGGTTATTATGAACAGGCTATCAAATATCATAAGCAAGAATTGACGATAAGCAAAGAGGTGAGAGATTATTCTCGAAACACGTACACATGTGTCATTATCTGTCCTTCACAAATTAACAAAAATATAAGATTTGTTAATTTTATCAATTTGCTCAATGATCACAGGTCAATGATCGCAGTTCGGAAGCCAGCACACACGGAAATTTGGCGGTCGCATATCAGGCCGTACAGGGCCACGAAGCAGCGTTGAGACATTACAGAGCTCATCTGGCAATAGCGCGTGAATTGAAGGACACGGCTGGAGAAGCTTGCGCCTTACTGAATCTCGCCAATTGTCTGTCTTCACGCGGCAGATTCGAAGAGGCAGTGCCGTATTACGAGCACTACTTGATGCTGTCGCAGGAATTACACGATGTGGAGGGAGAAGCTAAAGCGTGCCACTTCTTGGGATACGCTCATTATTGCTTGGGAAATCACCGCGAGGCGGTCAGATACTACGATCAGGATTTGGCGCTAGCTAAGGACCTGCAAGATAAATCCGGGATGGGAAGAGCTTATTGCAATCTGGGATTAGCTCACTTGGCGCTGGAAAATTTGGACACGGCTTTGGAATGTCAGAAATATTATTTGGGTAAAATTGTCATGCATTTTTTTTTAGAATATATTGATGCAAAATACTCACTTTGATAATCTTGAATCATTTAATAGCGATCGCGCACATGACTAAGCATCTGGCTGGCAAGTTTCGAGCTCTAGGAAATATTGGTGATTGTTTGTTGCGTATGGGAGAGATTGACGAAGCTATTAAAATGCATCAACGTCAGTTAAATCTGGCGCGTCAAGCTGCCGATCGTAGTTTGGAAGCAGCCGCTTACGGCGCATTAGGGGTCGCTCATCGTGCTACAAAGAATTTAGATAAGGCATTGGGTTTCCACACGCAAGAGTTAACTCTGAGACAAGAAGCTGGTGATCTGCGTGGCGAATGCAGAGCACATGGAAATCTGGGCGCAGTGCACATGGCACTAGGACAATACACGCACGCGGTTAAATGTTATCAGGAACAGTTGGAGAGAGCGAAAGAATTAGCGGATTCTGGAATTGAAGCTCAGGCATTGGGTAATTTAAACTTTCATTTGAAAATGCATTCAAAATCTCTTGTTTAAAATGAAGAGAGTAAATTTAACAATGATATAAAAAAAATTATCTTTTTTTTTATAGGAAATTTAGGCATAGCTAGACTCAATATGGCACATTATGAAGATGCTATCGGTTATTTCGAGCAACAATTAGCAACTTTGGAGCCGCTAATCACAGGCACGGCTTTGCTCGATAAAGCTCGAGCACTTGGAAATTTGGGTGACTGTTACGAAGCCTTGGGTGATCTGGAAGAAGCAATCAAGTGTCACGAGCAGCAACTGGCAGCCGCAACCAAGTTGAAAAGCATAAGGGATCAAGAGAGAGCCTACAGAGGATTAGGAAGAGCTCGAGAGGCAACTGGAAACTTACAAGAAGCCTTGGTATGTTTCGAAAAGAGATTAGTGGCTGCTCATGAAGTGGACAGCCCTGAAGCGAGAGGAGCTGCTTACGGAGATCTAGGTAAATCAGTAATACAAACAAGAAATCTAATTATTTTCTCAAGTTTATGTGAAAGAGCAAACCATAAAAATGATAAATACATTTTTTATCCGGAACAGGCAGAGTACACGCTGCGTTGGGTAATCACGAACAAGCCGTTAGTTGTTTGTCACATCAACTAGCTCTTGCACGAGGACTCGGCGATAAAGCGGCCGAAGCCGAAGCCGCCAGTGGTCTAGGAGCGGTTCATCTTTTAATGGACGATCCGAATTCCGCGTTACGCCATCATCAATTGGAACTGTCGATCGCTGAAGGCTTGGACGCGGCTGGATTGCAAGCTCGCGCTTGCGCTAATCTGGGAGTGACCCAAGAAACATTGGGACAGTATGAAGAAGCTATAAGATTGCAGGAACAATCGTTAAGCCTGGCAGCCGCGGCAGGAGATCAATCGGCTCGAGCGGCAGCTTTCGCAAGTCTCGGGCGACTTCATCACTTGTGCGGCGACTTGTCTCGCGCTCTAAGTTACTTGCAATCCGGTTTGTCACTGTCCGAGGGTTTGGGAAGAAGAGAAGAGGCCGCCAGATTGAGACACAGACTCGGTCTTGTACATTGGGAGGCCGGAGAAGCGAGCATCTCTGTGGAACACTTGGAAAAGGCTGCGAACTTGTTGGAATCGCTAGACGGAGCTTCTGTGTCTCTCACTTGCGGCCAACCTAGCCGGGCCGAGTTACTATCGGAAACGTATAGAATGTTACAGAAAGTGCTGATCAGTTTAAATCGCGCGGAAGAAGCTTTAAATTGGGCCGAGAGATCTAGACGGTCTAAGAGTAATTCTTTAGACGACGCTACTCACTATTCCGAAATCATTGATAGACAACGCGGAATTATCTTATATTACAGGTATTTTTGCGAACAAAAATATCTTGATTTTAAATATAAGAAAAATATGTGAAATATTCTATTTTTAAATTTTTTTTTAGCGAGGTGGGATGTGAATTACACGCTTGGTGCTTGGCGCCAGGACGTGGATTGTTACGATTTCATTCTGCCACCTTGGACGACGGAGTAGGACTGGAAAAGAGAGTTCTTCAAGCACGAGAAGCTCTTTTGGACGAGAGCAACGAACTTATTGAGGAATCGACTAAGATCCCATCGAGAGGTCATCACTTAAATGCCAGTTCTTACAGTTTGAGCAGTTTGTTTAGTGTTGGTTCTGTGAGTTCTCGCGCTGGGAGTGCTCGTTGGGGCCGTGGAGCGAAGGGACCCACGTGGCAGGCGCCGTTGCCGATACAGATGCTTTATGATCTTTTACTTGCACCTTTTGAAGATTTACTACCGCTCCCGCGAAAGGAACTCATTATGGTTGTGGAGAAATCTCTTTACTTGGCGCCATTCCCAGCTTTACAGTCTAATCCGGGAGAGGATTACCTGTGCGAAAGATTCTCCCTGCTGGTAGTGCCGTCCCTCGCAGCTCTCAGAAAAAGATCGAAAACTCCCGTACTAGAAGGTGGTGCTACCGTAGCCGCATTGGTTGCCGGAAATCCCATTCTGCCAGAAGATGTTCGAGAGGAATACGGATGGTCCGAAAGTGTCGCTTCCACCGAGACTGAGTCGGAAATAGTTGCCGAATTGTTAGAAGCCCGTGCCATGACCGGTTAGTATCATCTGTACTGCATGCAAGAAATTTCTTGACTGCATAATCTTCACATTAAAAAAAATAAAAAATTTCTGTCAATAGGACTCGAAGCTAACAGATCAGCGGTTTTGCGATCTCTACCGGATGCTGAATGCGTCCATTTGACGGTGCCGGTCTTCTGGAACACCAGCAGCCTAGCGTTTTCACCCGATCAGTGCGAAGAACCGTCCGACAGACCGGAGTACCTGATAAGCCAAACGGACTTGGTGAGACTGAAAATGTCAGCTCGTCTAGTAGTCGTGTCCAGCGGTCACGGTTGGAACAACGTGGAGTGCACAAACGCCACGTCGGACGGCATAGAGAATCTTGCCAAGACTTTGTTAAGCGCGGGAGCGCAGTGCGTGCTGATAGGAATGTGGGCAGTACCACCAACTGCCGGTAGTATTTTGTTGCGAGCATTTTACAGCGCGATGCTACAAGGAGCGAGAGCGTCACGAGCCTTAGCCGAAGCGATGCAGACCGTTCAACATACTAGGCACTTCGCTCATCCTGCCAACTGGGCCGGTTGGTTACTCATAGGCGGAGACGCAAGATTATCTAACAAGGTAATGTAAATGCAATTTTATGACACTGCTATTTTTCGTCATAGTTTTGTATTCAACGAATTTTTGTTTAACGAGATGTCTTCATTTGTTTATTTCAGGTTGCACTTATGGGCCAAGCACTGGCGGAATTGCTACGCGGCGGACCTGAACAGAGCAGAGATGCGCTGCGAGTGACGCTTCATTTAGTGGAGAAATCACTACAGAGAATTCATCGCGGACAGAAGAACGCCATGTATACGACTCAGCGTAGTATCGAGAATAAAGTAGGCGCTGCTACAGGTTGGCGGGAACTTCTGATGTCCGTGGGATTCAGATTCGAACCAGCTGGCAACGGAATACCATCCTCCGTGTTCTTTCCACAAAGCGATCCCGAAGAAAGATTGACGAGATGCAGTGCCAGCTTGCAAGCGTTATTAGGATTAGGTCAATCATCGTTACATGCTTTAGCAAGGCTTTTACAGGTACTAATTCTTCACTTTGTATTTAAATATTTCAGAGTTTTCTGTATCTCAATTGTGTAAATTACATTTTGCAGGCACCAGAAGCTGCAGAAGATGTAATTGCTGCCATGAGAAGAGCCAGTTGTGCCACAGAAGGACAAGAAATTATTTTACCTGTACACGTTTGGAGGGCATCGGGGTCACATGAATTGTTTGCTAGTTTAGGTTTCGATTTGATGGAGGTCGGACAATCGGAAGTGACATTGAGAACAGGAAAACAAGCTTCGCGTAGAGCTGTACAATTTGCTCTTCAAGCTCTTCTCGCGTTGTTTGGTAAATTATATAATTCGTGTGTTGCAAATAGAACTATTGAGATTGCACATTTTAAATATAAATAATATTTATTGTATGTGGTATATTGATTACAGATACACAAGAAGCACCAAAAAGTCTCAGCTTAGATTCCAGCAGTTCGATGGAGAGTTTAGCCTCCGTGGCTCATACCGAAAAGAATCTTGTTGAACGGCCTCGATTGGGAGGAGCGTTCGCGAGTTATGTACGACATCGCGGCGAACCAGATGGAAAAACCATGGAACCACCGAATGTTTTGTTGTCAGCATCACGACAACCGTGTCAAAATGGTGGAGGTAGATGTATAAGTAAATTTGTAAAGAATTTGTAATACATAAAGAATATTATTTTTTTTTTTTTGAATAATGAATAACGGGCTCTCGAACCAATTGCAGGATGTTATGCATTAATATTATTTTTTAAACTAAAAAATGAAATTTTGAAAAGATATTTCTCATATATAAATTTAATATTTTACAAATATTTTTTACAGGCGAATCGGACGTGGCGTTCACACCCAGTCCTCCTGTAGCACTTAATCTGAACCATCAGACGCGTATTCGGAATCTTTATCCCGATCAGACTCTAGCAAGACCGGGCTCAAGTTCAAGCAGTTCGGTGACAGATTGGGACAACGGACATGCCACTGTGTTGAGGCGTCAACCATTACCGCCGCTGCCGCCCACTGTGCTGGAGAGATTAAGCGTTAGAACGGAAGTCGGCACAAGCACAAGGAAGATGCGACATACTTCGACGACAAATGAAGACATCTGCGCGCAGACCGACACGACGCAATCCACAGAGACACACCCACAAAACTTGAGAAACCTGGCTACCTCCCTGACAAGTCTAACGCGCGAGCTTACACCCACAATCTCCGAGGTCTATCACGAACGTAGCTTGGGATTAGGTCTAGCGCCGTCTTTGTCGAAATTACTGGAGGAAGTGGGCACCGTACCCGAGAACGAGGAGTCAGAGTCGACAAAAACAGGCGGTCACCAGACGCAAAATTGGATACAGAACGAGCCGGATCTCTGTCGGCGAGACGAGGCTGACGGTAGATCCATCGCCGAGTCGCAGTGCAGTGCCGCTAGTTCGAATAAAATACCTCGAAAAGCTCCTGCGCCACCGGTATAGATAAAAAAATTTTATATTTATAAATTAAAACACATTTATGTGTACAATTGTGTGTTTGTGTGTGTATGTGTGGAGAGAGAAAGAGAGAGAGAGAGAGAGAGTACTGGGCACCAAAGAATGAGGGAGCATGGGAAAAATTGGATTGTTGCTGCAAATGTTTGCTATAGCAAAACTAGCAGAAAATAATCTCGACGAATAGTAAATAATAAAGCGCAAGTACGTGTCAACTTGAACTTGCGGATTTTGAACTAAAATACTCGCAGAAAAATATATTAATTAGATGCATTTTTAGAAGCATTTCGAGTTTGCTTTTTGTACATATTGAAGCTTGTACGTGAGTTCTATTATGCACACACACAAGAATGAGATAATCTCGTTAATATATATTTGTATTCAAATAATAATGTTCAGTGTAATCCGTCCATAAACATTTACTTATTAACATTTACAATATTAATTATCAAAACTAGCAAAAACTTTTTTTTTTATATTTATCCACATACGTAAATATTACATAGTTAATGTGACTATTTTGACTGTCACGGTTCTTATGCGTTCTAATAATTATTTAACAAAAAAAAAAAAAAAAAAAAAAAAAACATTTCACGCAATAGAAGTTAAGGGGCAAGGCTACAATGTATACTTTGAAATATATGTATTATATTAATTTTAAGACAAATCTGTAAGATATATTACTTTTGTTGAATTTTTTTGATAAAAAAAAAGTTTTATTTTTTTCTTTCAAGAGAATTTTGTCAAAAATTCTATTTTATGTGAAGAGTGAAAAGAGCTAAAATAAAATCATGTATTATTATAGCCTTTAAAAAAAAAATCCAAAAAAAAATTTCTTCCAAGTAAGATTTTTACACAAACCCTAAAAGACTTCAGATAACAGACTGATAATTTAATCAATAGATTTACTTACAGAGGATGTTACGCAATAAATAAATGTATAAACTCATATATGTATATGATATTTTATTTAATGAGTAGTTAAAATAACTTTAAATGACCAGTTACTTCATCTATCAATTTTGCCGGGCCTGGACCAACTGCACACACTGTTCTGCTTCCTGCTGGAATTTGTGTATGCCCAGCATCCTGTACAACATTCGATAAGAGACCTACGGCTTTAGCATGCTTTGCTATTTCCATGAGAGCAGCTTCATTATCCACCTGAAAACAATAAAGTTTTCTTTTCATACACACACGTCTGTGAAAGTAATATCCAGTTTTAACACATATCGTGAAAAATAAAATGTTGCAACAATAAAGAACCATTTTCAAAAATATATCAAATTTAAATCAACCTTTAGAGTAATTTTTGGTTGCCCACATTCTTCCCAAACTTGCAAGAGTTTTGGATGTTTTCTAGCAGCTTTGTACGCCGATACAGCAGCATGGGAACACTGTGCTGCTACTTTTCCCTTTCCCATTTTCAAGTCTGTTCTAATTACTAGAACCAACTTGTGATAATCGTGATAATCTGTTTCGATCTGGATATCAAAAACAACAGAGTAAAGCATGATGATGTCTAACCCGATCACTCAAGTAAATCAAATATTTAAAATCAAAATAGATTCGTGTTTTTACCATATTAATATCTTCGACGAAATCTTCTTCCCGAGTGATTTTAACTGGTGGATTTCTTCTACTGGTGATTATCATGAGTTTGTATAAACAATAACCAAAAACGGTAGCAGCAGTAAAAGCGATTACGGGGTCTGTAGCGCGTGCTACTATTGCTTCCGTGAGATTCTGCATAATCACCGATAATGTTTGAGATAAGATAAATACCTGCAAACGTACATACTTGGAAGAATAATCATTTTATATAAATAACTTGAGAAACAAAATTTTGACACTTCAAAATTCACAAATGTAATATTGTAAAATGAGATAATTTATTTTATATCGCACAAGTCATACGCTAAAGTTGTATATTAATATTGTAAACAACATATACTCAGATATATTAATTTTAATAGAATATTAGACTCACAAAAAATCAGGAATGATGTTTAAAAAACGTGGAATATATCAGCAAGTGTCAGCACACCTGAAACTAGTACGGTTAGGGTTAGGTAGGTGTTCATCGGAACTTCATATAATATATTGAAACGTGTTCTGTTTACTTTTAGTCGATAACTCGGCCGATTGTTATTTCATACTATATTCACCGCTAGATGGCAATTGCTGTAGTTTACGGCCATTCGAAATTGTCGAATCGGAGCTTCTCTTCGCCGCTTGATTCATTCGGCTTCATTTCGCAGCGATGTAAGAACGAAAATGTCAAAATTAAATTTTTACAACAAAATATCTACATCTGTGCATTCTTTAACGGTGGAAAAATGCAAAACACGTTGTTTCGTGGCGTAAGAATCATGTCCGACAAGAAATACATCAATGCCGTCACTGGACATATTTTTACCATTTCACTTGAGACTTGCAAGAAATAAGTAAATTAAAATTATTAATGACACTCGAAATATTCTATACTTATACGCAAATTATTTAAATTTGAAGAAAGTCAAACACAACTCATTCTTTCAAAGATACAAATATTTACTTTCAAACATACATATAAAAAAAAAAAAAGAAATTTATTTCGCAAGTTTGATGCAAAAAGCACGTTTTTTCAGAGCATGTGATATTTTTATAACTAAAAAAATCAAGCATGGAAACGTTTCTCAAAAATTCGATGTTTCTTATCGTGGACGACGCGGAACCAATTCTACCGATTTTTCGATCTCCCGATTACAACAGCCCGGGCACAATTGTGGAATTGACAGATGTCGGTTGCGACACGGAAAGCGCGTTTTCCGGACATTTTCCACGTAGCGCGTTCGAGCGGCGTCGCGGAGGAGCCGAGAACTTCCGGTCGGCTCGCAGAACCGCCAAATGGCGTAACGAAAGACCGACAAGTTTCACCATCGCTTCAAATCATTTTAAAGTAAGCGATACATAATTAAAAGCACCCGCGAATTTGGCGCTTTCACGATCTTTCGATCGATTCGATAGCGCAGAAACGGCAAGTACGTTGAGAGCGCAAAAGCGCAACGACGCGATCTGAATTACGACGACGTGTACATGGCTGATCTGGATTACGATTCCTATGTGGAGGACAACGCGTACAATGATCTTCCGCGAAATAACACTGGGGTTCGATATAAAAATGATTGTTATGCGCAATTTGGCGATCTGCGGAACGTAATTGCCGAACGTTCTCGAAGAGAATATTTTCCACGGAACGTAAAACAAAATTATTCGAGAGATCTCGAATTTTCGCCTAATCGCGCGTACCAAAGAGAGAACAATTTTCCGCGATGGTTTATCGACAACGAAGAAATTCCTCGCGAAAATCACAAAAGCCGAACGAAGAGGATAAACGAGATTTTAAATCGCAACGCAGGTGCAGTTTTGTTAAAAAAAAATATATGTAAGAAAGACTTCCAAATTTCCAGTAATTCGTATTTTATATTAGAAAATACAATTGGATGTGGGCAATAGTTTTTAATTCAACATACTGCAGATGCTTTTAAAGAGGCGTTAAATATTTTCAGAATTCTCTACGTCTTTGAAGAGTGATGATTTTTCGGACTCTGTTTCGTGGGAAAATGACACGAGTGGTGAAGAATTGATATCCTCAGATTCGACGATATTGAAAAATGAATTGCGAGAAGTGCCGGTAAAAAAAAAATTGCGTAACTTCTATATGCAGCGGAACAGAGAGAACGAAGAGAATATTAACTCAGAAAGAGAAGAAGAGTCCAAAGAACCGCGGCTGGAAAACAGTCAAGAAAATTTATCGCCAAAACCTGCGAGATATCGAGCTTCGAGAAGCGGCTCGGTAACGAGGAAGTCTAAAATATTGCAATCGAACGCACCAATCGCGAATTCACCGCGCGTTCAATCGGCGCAAACATCCATCGATGAACGATCCTCGAACGTGTGTGCCGCGGAAAATGGTGAGAATTATAAAACGCAAGGATTTCTTTTTTTTTTTTTTTTTTTTTTTTTACGTCGATTATTTATATTGTCGGAAAGAAGCTCGACGCGATATAAGCAGCAGATGTCTGCAGAAATTTTAGTTTAGTTACATTTTTCTCTTATTATTTTAGTTTACATTTTATTTATTATTTTTATTTATTATTTTTACTTTGTCCATCTCTTTCTTTCAAGTAGCTTCAACCAATACGAGGCCACGTTCGGCAGTCGAAAGAAGAAAGTTCAATGTTAACCTTCCGACAGACGAGAGAACGGGAGAAACCGCAAATGTGACTTCCGCCCGAACGAGCTCGAGGGAAGATCGTTGTCAACGATCAATTCACAAAGACAACAAGTTCATAAAGAAAGTCACCAATAAATCTCCCGGTGAAACGAGCCGCCGGCCTGTAAGAACAAATAAGCGCGTCGTGAATTTAAAGATCAACGAACGCACGTACGCGGCGAAGGAAAGAAGTAATACTCATCGCGGAAATTGCGAGAACAATAAAATTGATCGCGCCAACATCAGTGCCGCTTCACGATCGTCGCTGGAAGAAAGAGCGGCAACAAACAAACGGGTATTCTCTTTAAAAAGAACAGATACTTTGCCGCTCGTAGACATAGAAAGAGAGAAAAAATGGAAATTTACTTCCAAGTTACCCGTAAGAACGTGGAAGCGTCTGAGAACGAGAGAACCTGCCACGACGCGTACTGAAAATGACATAACGAACGAGGATGCTAATCGAGAACAAGTGAACATCGAGATTCCGCGAATTCGCAATAATCTTTCGAACAAGATAGACGATGAAATTTGCAAACAAATTGCAGAAGAACACACCGTGAGAAGAACCGCAGATCGCGGTAACGTAAAACGCAGCAACAACCTCACATCAGGATTATTCATTACGGAGCATCAACCGGCATCTTCCGATGCGAAAAAAATGGAGATTTCGAACGCGAAAAGGACGTTGCAACGAAACAAGCAAAAATATACAAGTACACTAGGTAAGATTAAAGTATCATGAAAAAATATTATCTCTTTAAAATTGTCCTATATATTTATTTGTGAAACGAGATAAAATGTGTGAAAAAAAGTATCTTCAACCACAATGTGTCTTTCTCTTGCGTACGCCATAGATATGTTTAATTTGAAAATAAATTTTGGGGAAAAGAGAGAAAAAATAAATCGATCACTGCGCAACTCTTGTCGACAGATATTTTTATTTGTACGTCTTGATTGAATAAATAAATATACGAAGTTGAATGTACATCGGGGAATGTGTAACCGCATGGAACGAGACGCGCATAATTGCGCACGTCGCGTAATAGGACTCCGCGACGCGATGGGTCACCTCAAAAGAAGGCCCCCGAATGATACCAATTATGCCATCAACGTAGAGCGCCGTCCCCCTGTCGACGATTCTGTCACAGCACAGTCACTTCGCCCGCATGTCACAACCCCCGCTTGCGTAACCACCCCATACAGAGATGAACGGCCTACGTATAATGCTGTATATGTACGTCGCGATTCTCGCTGGGGGCCGCGCGATCTCAGGATCAGAAGGGAAAATATGTAATTGTCCGTATTTACCCTTACACCCGGCGTGCACTCAAACAACAACATCACGCAACCCTCCGCGATCCCCGCGCGTAAAACGCCACGTCGATTCAATTCAGACAAGCGTAAGCCGAATATTTTGATTTTTTTTTTTTTTTTTTATTACTTTGTTCTCTCGCTTTCGACCGACACAATCCGATTTCAATAATAAAAATTGTTCTCGCGTCGAGAGGAGGAACAACAAAGTCTCTCGCAAAAATCGGTTAGGTTTTTCTTCGCATTTGTAACATGTTCCTATATTGAGATTATACCAGTTTCGGACGTTGTATTTTTATATATCTTGCATCGTGTTTCGATCTTTAATCATCGCGGAGGAGAAGCGCGAGAGAATACGGACGCAAAACAACGTGTCGGAGGAGAAGAGCGCGGCGCGCTCCGAAAAAAACGGAAGAGAGGCGCGCAGCAGCAAAAGGAGGCGAGCAAAATTTTGTCCCGCGCGGAGAGCACGAAGAGCCGAGCCGCCCAGCTGGAGGTGGATAATCAAATAACCTGCACGCACCGTATAAATTATCAATCAGGGCGCGATTGTGCAACCCCAACAGAGGGAGCCATCCGTGTCGGTAAGGGTTGTTACACATTGACGTTGTGAACGAGGCGAGGGGGAAGTGGCGCGGCAGATTGTGTGCGACCTCGTCGCCGCCGTCGCTGCCGCCGCTGTCGTCGTCGTCGTCGTCGTATCGAGTGACCCCGCAACAGTTATCATCCCTTCGTGCGTGGGCGTGCGTGAATGTGAGTTCACGCCCCGCACAGCAGTCCTAAAAGGGGACTATCCGAGAAACGGACGGCGTGTATGTGACGCGGGCGGAGGGTGAGCCGGTTCGGCGTAAGGTTGGTAAGGTGCGTCGCACGTGTGCGACACGAGAGAGATTCCGCAGATACGAGACCGCTAAACCGACACACAGCATCCCGGGTTTTAACCCGAGATATGATGCAAGATTCACGTGGGAGACGCGCGTTTCTGTGTCGCGCTTCTTTCGTCCATAAAGATAACAGAATCCGATAAGAATTCGTATCTTTACGAATTATCTCGATCGCGTGATCATCCGTTCTTGCAATTTGCGCGCATAATCTCACCGCGAGTGTAGGTAGGTAACTTGCATCCCCCCCCCCCGCGTTAACTTGCCCGGTAAGGGATGTTTGTTACATTGACGAGTCGCTTCGATCACGACAGCAGCGAGAACCGAGCGTAGCCGAGCCAATTAAGCGTCGAAAGGGATCACCACCCCAATCGCCTACGGCGTCGACGTATCGAAATTAATCGGCGCGGCGGCTAATTCTCCTCAAACTCATCGGAGATATACTTTCGCAGACAGCATATGTGTGCAGGGTGTTCCGGATTTGTCAGCGTTATTCGACTATGTTTTCTTTTTTTTTTTTTTTTTAATTCCGGTTCTTTCATTAATTTCTCAACCGTCTACCTTGTAACAAACGATCTTTTATTTTATTTTTTTTTTTCACCGATGTTTCTGATTTTTTGCTCGACGCAAAATTCATCCACGACCGTGTAGGGCGCGCGCGACACCGAGAGAACAAATTCGGGTCGCACGTTCCGCTGCTACGTGAAGCGGAATGCACCTATTAAACGGCGCAGCCACGCGCCCCGAATAGAGAGAATCCCGGGGAGACTAAATAGTTTTCTATAGCCGCAGGCAGTGCGCAATTGTGCATCGAGCCGCGTCGACGTACCCATACGATAACGGGAGATACGCTCGTGCGTTCTCACGTTTAGACGTCGGTGCCGCGGATCAATGCCGTCGTATATAATATCGGGAGCACGTCGCGCAGAAATGTCGCAAGGATGCAGATAATAGCAGAGCGAATTCTCGCGAGGTCGATAAATGACTCGATAAACGAGTAATAGAGGGTATAGGGGATTCGGTTCTGTTTATTTATCGCGGTCGATCAGAGCAAGATCGGGAGGCCGGTGGCGATTTCACTTCCACGCGGGCGCGGCGTAAATGGCCGCGGGCCTTTATTTAATAAGTTGTTATAAATTAAAGGGCTACCGCATATTAAACCATCCTCGGCATATTTATAGTGATTCTTAAGAGAGCGTATAGGTACCCGGGCAAGTATCACGGTTATGTAAATCATCGATGCGTCGCGCCGCGCACGACACACATACACACACACACACACACACACCACACCAGATACACACTCGGAGAGCGCCCGCGCACTGCGGAGGCTTCACACGTACCTTTACGTCCCGTGGACTCCCTTATGAATTTATCTTCGGCGATGAAACGACAAACGGTTTTAATTGCCGCTTCGGGCATTGCGCGCCGATAATCTGCCGATCTCCTTCGCTGAATATCGCGGGATACACACCGTGCGCGATGCGCCCTTCTCGTTATCTTCGATCCTCGACGACGCGATAAGCGCGCAAAATTTTTTCTCCCCGCTCTTTAAACGTAACAACTTAAACATATACGTAGATATAAATAGCAGTTGTAGCGATTGTACACATATTAATTAATGTAATTTTATTGTATTTTTTATTTGCGAAGATATAAAATATATATACATATATAGCGAGTTACTTATTTATTTTCTTTTGTGAAATGAGCAAGCCGCCGAATGCGCTCGGAATCGGATTGTAACACGTATTCGCGGGCGATAATGATCGTTTCGTATCCGGTATAGGGTAGCGTAATGCGCTTAACCGGGAGAAGACGACGGGGGCATATATCGACGAGGCAAGTTCGATAGCGCGCTAACAGCATTTGACCCCGAGAGCTTGTTCCGGGGTTTGCCGGAGACGCTAACAATGCCTTATGTCGGCGTTTCGCTACCCGTGTCACGCGCGTACGCGAGTTCGACGGCAGGAACGTGTTCCTCGTTTCTGGAGTTTCCGCTATAATCCGATCACCTCCAGGGAGCAACGGAGCTCGGTCGACGATCCTTCTCTCTCTCTCTCTCTCTCTCTCTCTCTCTCTCTCTCTATCTCTTTGCTCCTCATTGTCGTCCTTAGAATGGCACGCGGTCGCGTTACCATTGCAAACGATACAAACGATCTAATTTCGGCGTGTAATACAAGGGAGCCCCGGGGGAAAACGAATAACACGCGAGAAATAGTCGCGTCAGTAAACATTTCTCGAATTAGGAAAACGCACGATGTGGAGCTCGAAAGAGAAATACAAGCTCGAAATGTTCCACACGTCGGAATACATATATATATATCGAGTTTTTCCTCTCGCGTATTTATTTATTATTATAGATGCAATATATGATTTTTTTTCCGCGGTTGCTGTGTAATCCCGTGCGACGCACACGAACGGGGAGTGGTAGAAACTTAAAGCACGCCGCTCGTCGTAAGTCATTTCGAGGAGGCGAGGAAGAAGCTGAAAAAGAGAGAGACGAGAAGAGAGGGAGAGAAGAGAGAAGTGTCCCCGAAAATCGTGAAACCCACGCGGCCAGCACGGTCTCGCGCAGCCGCGCGAGGCGGGTTAATATATTTTATCTACTGCAGGCTCCGAGAGCCACACGGCGGGGATATACCCTGCCGAGGTGCGGGCTTTTATATACCGCGTACCGGTATTTATGTGTCGCCGCCTTGCCTAAGCGTTTGATATATGAACTATGAAAGGGGGAAAGAATGATATAGGAGAAAAGAGAAGAGGATACGCGCGAGAGGAGAGAACGAAGGATCTCTCGCGTCCGGCTCCGTGCACGTCCGTCCGCGATATATGTTCTTTTGACAATGAGAGGAGATAACCAGGAGAGAGAGAGAGAGAGAAGAGAGAGAGAAATATGTTTATCTAATATTTTTGCGCGACGAATGCAGTCGTGTACGAAAAAAGTCACATGTTTTTCTTACTTTCGATTGTATAAATACTCTTATAAAATCATATGTTTATCGATCGAAAAATAAACTGTATCAGACTTCGAGAAATTAATTCGAGTGAAAGTTCGAATTTTTTCTCGCAAACAGTCCAAGTCTCGTCATATGAACTAGTTTCCGTCTGATCGTTGAAATCTCGAGCAGCTCGAGCTTGCGACATGCATGGTCGCCACGGTGGTTTAGCAGCACGTCAGTGCAACCGTCAATGAAAGACGTGCACTGTTTGCGAACCGAAAGTGAAAGCTGTGAAAGATACAACTTGAACAAAAGACTTGCATAGACTTGATCCCACAATTTATGATTTTCAAGTTGTTATCAGTATGAAATAAAAAAAAAAACTCTCGTAAATATTCTAAAAGAGAAATACGTACGCGGAGAGACAAGACATCTCTTTAGAGATTTAAGATTCAGCAATAATGCGAAAAGATTTTGAGAAAACTTAAGGAAGAGTTTCTCTACATTAGTGTTGATTTCAAGAAAAGATTCCCGTAGAAAGTTTCCTGCGCGCCGCATGCGATGAGGTGGCGAACGACGAAGAGCATAATTTGAGAGACGAAGGATAGGGCTCTCCTTGAAGTAGTAGACATTGCGGAAACCGGGAGGGAAGAGACGGACCGAGGCAGAGAGAAGGCGGTTGCTTGATTGGGTTAGCACTTAGCGCTGTGATTGCCGTTTGTGACTCCTTTGCCATTTCGCTCCCGAATACCCTCCGCTCG